TGGATAACCAAGTGGAATGAGGAGTGTGGATGAGTACTCTGAAGTCACTGGGCAACTTGATAACAGCATGTCAGTTATAGCGTGGAGGCAAGAGTGGCTACAAAAACAACTGTGGAGCACAGAAATGAAACCAATGAGTTTACAACCCTACAAGTTCTGCTACAAAGACCAGCAAAGCAATAAAGTGGTGAGGCAGAAGGCACAGGAGGTCAAGACAGTTTGATTTCATTTCCTTCCTTCCTTCTTTCCTTCTTTCTTGCCTTCCTTCCTTCCATTTGTTCATTCTACTAGAAAAATTATAGCATATCTCTATGCTGAAGGAAATCATCCAGTTGGGGAAAGACTGGTTATGTCAGAGAAATAGTAGAATGGCCATAGGTATATCCTTGAATCAGGGAGAAGGGACTGAATCCAGTGCATGAGGGGAGGGCTGAGCTTTGCCAGAAGCATGGACAGCCTAGCCATAGGATCAGGAGAAAGGCAGCATGTGCAGGGGGAGTTGCAGGTAGATGAATCAATATGATTTGTGTCAACATTTTGGCATGCTTGCTTCTATTTTCTCAAGAAAAGAGGAAGCAAGGTCTTCAGCTGAGACTGATGGTGAAGAAGTCTTGAGAGAAGACATAAAACAGTCATCCAAAAAAAAAAAAAAAGTCATCCAGGAGAATGTAAAGTATGTTTAAGCTAGTGGTCATATATTTAAAGAAAGGCCAGGCAGGTGTTACAGTTAGTCAGCTGAACAGGCGTGCATGCTGAGAACATGAAAAGCTGGCTACGACTAAGGCTAGAGTTTGGCCAAGCAGAGAGAGGGAAAGGGAAGTGGGAGAGCAGGGCACTGAGACAAACCATGGCCCAGGAATTTAAACTGTGTGAGGCAGCAAGGGTCTGAAAGAAGTGAAGGAAAAAAGACAGTAAGAAGCTATTAAGATGGATAGGGGGCATGAAGCACTGTAGGACATGGTACACCACAGGCAGTGAACAGGGTGACTAGTGGTGAGATTGCACAAGAACTTGTCACTGCTCATGTCAGGTCTGTGCTGTGGCCCGAGGCAGTAAGTAGCTGAGAGAGACCATTAAGAGAGGTCTATGGATGGCCAAGCAGGCTGGAAAGGTCATCCACGTCATCCACGACACTGAAATCACTAGTCGTGACCAGTGTAATGGCAAAAAGCACAATCATGAACAAGAACCAAAACCTTAAGGATGGAAAAGGAACTGTCTGAAAGGAGAGGAGTGAAGGGAAAAGGGAGAAGTAATCAGGTCACAATCTAATGACATGAGATTCAAAGTGTGTGAAAGCAGCAGAAGAGAACGAGAGGACACCTGTCCAAATTCCTGGATGAGTGAAGTGAAGGATGTGGGAAAGAACAGAGTTACCACCTGAGAGGGACTAAGAAGCAGCTCGTGCTGGGAGGGCCAAGTTTCTTCTAGCAAGAGGGAGGAGACTGAGGATCCAAGTGGCTCTGCTGCTGTGACCCAGTAGCTCTTCGATCTACATGGTTCCACATGGTATAAGCAGTTTCAGGAGCTCAGGGACAGTGGGAAATAAGGTCAGAAATGCAAGTAGAGAGAAGTAGGAGATAGTCTGAGACACTAGGGTCCTGGACATTAGAGGCTCCTTATGTTGACTATCAGAAAGGAGGAAGGCCAGAATGCATGCACCATTCCTCCTGGCCTCAAGGCAGACAGCAAAGTAAGGCTGTGTCCTGGAGACTCAAGGAGAAGAAGCCTTTCAAGGACAGTCCTGAGTCCTGGGGTAGCTCCTCACTCCTGCCATGGTGATGTGGACACTGGGGAAGGCTGTATGGACCAGATGGCTAGAGATCTGGGGCTTCCTCCTGCTCCAGGAATACATACAACTCCTACCACCTATTTCTTTGTTTTTCAAGTATTTCAGTTCTGGATAAAATCTTATAGATTCTTACCCTTCTTTTTCTCTTCTTCAGTCAACTATGATCTTAAGATTCAGAATCTAAATTCATTTGCTCAAGGTCTGGTGCTTAGAAGAAGATGAGTAGTAAACAGAAAAGGAAAAGAAAAAGCAGAGCAGACCACTAACAGGATGGCTTCTTTAGAACACTGATTTACATTATAATAGGACATGGCATAAAATAAAATATGTTTATTTTATTAACATATTTTCTGAATAATAATATTAAGAACAAAACTAGCACCAGCAAATGATAAATAGGAACAATGGAGAAGTCACAGGCAAGTATTCCATCAAAAAACTATACTGATACTTTAAAAACCATGCATGAAAATTCAACTCCAATAATATCTACCACAACAAGTTATAGATCTTCCAGGAAAAAAATGTTATGTTTTTTCAGATGACCATGAAGCTGAGCTCAAAGCAAACCATACAGATGTCCCAAAAATTCCTGTGATGTGCATCACACATTCCCACACAGACCAAGAAAGCACGCTCAATGGCCACTAGCAAAACACTATCATGAATTCTGGGGTAAATCACTGCTGTAACATTTTTTTAATCTTTTATTATTATTCTGCAATTCAATAGCCCAGCATATAGGGCACCTTGGTGGCTCAGTCAGTTAAGTGTCTCTGACTCAGGTCATGATCCCAGGGTCCTGGGATTGAGCCCCACATCCAGCTACCTGCTCAAGGGAAATTCTGCTTCTCCCTCTGCCCCTGCCTCCCACTCATGCACTCACTTTCTCTAGCTCTCTCTCTCTCTTAAATAAAATATTTTTTTAAAAAAATAGCACACAATAAAAAATATTTTAATTTACTTTTTAAAAATAATTTAAAATACAAAATAACTGCTACAACAAAATACATTTCATATGATACTAGATTAAATTTAAAAAGTAGGGATGATTTCCACAACCTACCTTCTATGATCTATACCTTTTTTTTTAAGTAGGCTCCCATGCCCAGTGTGGAGCCCAACATGGGGCTTGAACTCATGACCCTGAGATCAAGAGTGGGACACTTAACCAACTGAGCCACCCAGATACCCCACATATGGGGTATACTTTCTTTAAAAATAGCAAATCATAAAATACTGGGTTTGTTATAACCTTGTTTTCTTTCCCCTGCACTTATTGATATACTCTACTCAAGCTTATGATTTTAATCCATATTACTCTATGTGCCCATTTTGCTATAGAACCTTTTATGTTGCAAGCCTGTTGTTTTCCACCTGAAGCAGTCTACAGTGCTAACAAATAGTAAATAACAAAACTACAGCAACTATCCCAACATATCATTAAAGAGCCATCAACAGAAAGACTAACTACCTACCAACAGAATAATCAGAAGCAGTGCATAGCTTACCAAAATGGTAGAAAACAATGATACTTAGCATTAGCTATCATATCATACTTAGTCCTCTCCAAATTATATTTCTGTGCTAGTCAAAGTATTTTGTTTATTTGGATTTGGCTTCACTTTGTAATACATCTAGACTTCTGGCAATGACTTCTTTTTGAATTTCTTTAGACATACTAATCCACTTTTGAATTTGAGGAGCCAGAGGATCTTGAAAGATTCTGGAGGGACTTTTTCTTGAAGTGAAAAGTGAAAAAGACTGTATTTTGGGCTTGGTGTTATTTTGACTTAATTCAAACTCTTTAATTCATGGAACACTTTTTTTTTTTTTTAAGTAGGCTCCACATTCAGCACAAAGCCCAATGTGGGTCCCAAACCCACAACCCTGAGATCAAGACCTAAGCATCAAAAGTTGGATGCTTAACTGACTGAGCCACCCAGGTGCCACCATCAGGCACTATCTTTTACCCTTCCTAGATCTCAAGTCTCCCTGATCTGTAAGACAGAAAGACCTCAGGCTGAAACATAACTGTGTACTGTAGGCAGTAGTGTGACAGTTCAGGCATATTTATCACATATTAGCATGATTACCTAAGTAAGACAGATTTATTATGATATTCACTACTTTAATGAAATTTTATGAAACTGACAGTATCACGTAAAGTTGTAACTCTGAAATAAAATATAAAAATAGCTTTAATAGCATTAAAGAATAAAAGATACATTTAGTTCTAAATGTTAGTGGTATCAAAGTATACAGTATTATTGCCAAGAATTCTCTATATTAGATAAAATCTGAAATTCTTTGATCTAAGAATAAAGGTCTAAATGTTAGCAACACTTTTGCGTTGATGATTTAAATTCGCTAATTGTAACTGAAGAAAGTAGGTATATTTCTTCCTATTTCATATTTAAAGTAACCTTCCATTTTATACCTACTCTTTAATTACAACCCTGAAATACAGTTAGCAATTAATAGTCTGATCTTGGGTTGATTTTCAACATTAAAGGAAAAAAAATTTTGCAGGAAAAGAGTACAGAATGAAAAGCATTTAAGTAAAATAAAAAGAAAATTTACCCAAACTATTATTTCCCTGTTAAACTACGTCATTATTACTTTTTTCACTGGTTCTTCATTTGAAGCCAAAAAGGATGAGTAAATAAAAATTAAACTTTAAAATCTTTGACATACTTCCTTGGTTATCAACAGCGGATAATGAATAGCATTCCTAAATAACAACAGAGCTCCTAAGCATAACTAAGACTGTCAATTTTGGCACCTAGTAGCAAAGAGACATACTACTTTTGGCCTTAAAGATTTCAAAAGGAAAGAAATGAAGTAGGGATATTAAAGTGACTAAGAAAACATGCAAATCTGCAAAACCTCAGTGCCTAAGTCATCGTGCTTAAAATACATTAGGTCTTGGTAGTAGAGGTGTACCTTAATGGCCAGTGCCTCAGAAGTCAACTGGCCTTGCTAGATTACAGCTAATCTCAGCTAGGGAAAGACAGGAACTGGACTGCAATGCCGCTAGTCTTCAGCAAAACTGTCCTCACCTAAGACATTCACATGTTACTCTTAAATCTTGACCTGGCGCCTTGGCACAATGTCCTAAGAGGCTTGTAATTTTCCCCCTCAATTAGCTGTCTTTTTTGTAATTGAATAATTTTTATTGAGCTTTAACTATGGAATACATACGTACCATTTAGTCGTCTCTGGAGGGCTTCCTCCTCTAGGGTAATAATATAAATTTGCTCATCCAGGTCTTCAAGAATCTAAATTCAAAGATCAAACCATTGACTAATGCAACATTACAAAACTAGTGCTTATGAGAATACTTAGGCTATTTGGCCTATGATTTAGATAATCACTCAAAATTATTACAAATTTAAAATAAAAATACTCAAACTATTCTATTTGTAAGTTAAGGAAAATTATTTTAGCATATAACTAAACACATAAAAAGTTGCCTATTAGAAAATTCACATATATTTAAATTTAAGGATTAAAGAACACTGCAGCTCTCAATGACAAATAAATGTCTGAATTCTCAACATCCAAAAGGCTAATAATAATATCTCTTACACCCAAGCCAATATTTTAGAGCAAGAAGGAATAGATCACTCTGTCCAACATTGGCTTCTCATTTATATTTACCTACATAATATTTAACACAAGAGAACAATAAACTCAATAACTACAATGCGATACTTTCCACTTACATCATCCATACATACTAAAAATTTTCTGCAAATTATGAATACTGGTGTTATAAATTCATTTTGTAGATAAAACCCTAGAGAAATATACTTGTGTATACCCACTCACTACCATGCCACACAACACTAGTAACAAACAAGAACCACTAATCAATCACCAGGCTCTGAGCCTAAGGCACACAGGGGCCATGATACCAACTCTCCTTCCCATCAATGTTCTCATCACTTTCTACTGTTTGGATCACAATTCAGTTTTTACTTTTTTAAGATCTAGCCCATACAAAAAGATTTCCCCTTACGATGCAAACTGTCCATTCACTATCATGGGTCTGTCTCCATGTAAGTTACATTGAGTGGCACACAGATTTTGTGTTAAATGCTATGTGCCTCATCCCTTTGATTCTACAACAATCCAATGAAAAACAGACTGCTATCATCCCCATCTTATAACATGCTTCTTACAAGGGTTTGGCAAAGAAAAGTTATCTGCCTTGTGAAGCCTACATTCTTAGCCACTCTGAGCCGATGGGGACCTAAATGTGAGTCAAACATAGTCCTTGGACTCAGCTCATATACTAGTGTCCAGGAGACAGAACGAACCCAAAAAAATAATTTTAAGATTAAAATAACTCATGACTGAAGCAAAAATAAAATTTTACAAAAGTTCAGAGGAAGAAAGATTCCCAACTTCTAGGTAGGAAGAAAAGTTTTGGCAAGTGTTTTTGTTAATAGTAGCCTGTTAGCTTATAGCTAATTTAGTGAAAAGGGGAAAGGCATTTGGGTCAGAAAAAACTATAAGCAAAACACAGGTGAAAAGGTACAAAGTACATTCAGCAATAAGGTGGTTTGAGTACCCTGGAGCTTATGGCAGAGCAGAACAACGGGCCAGAGCCCAGGGTCTGAAATCAGCTTCTGGGTTCAAATTCGGCCCCATCTTCACTGACCTGTAATCTTGTATGAGCAACTTAATCTCCCCGAAATGCAGATAATTCATCCATAAAATAAGACTACCGCCTAACTCATAGGTTTGTTAACAGGATTAAATTAAATGTGTGTAAAATACAGCACTTATCACAAGCATAGAGCCTAGACTGACTGAATACCATTAATACTGGGTGTTGGGGGGGCAGCCCCAATGGTCCAGTGGTTTAGCACTGCCTTCAGCCCAGGGTATGATCCTGGAGACCCAGGATCAAGTCCCACGTCAGGCTCCTTGCATGGAGCCTGCTTCTCCCTCTGCCTGTGTCTCTGCCTCTCTATCATGAATAAATAAAAAAAATCTTTTTTTAAAAAAATACTGGGTGTTAGGAACAAGAAAAGAGGTGAAGATAATTAAAGTTTTGAGAATAATGTTAATAAGAGACAAGTTTGGGAGAAAGCTCAGCCTTGGGAAGGTCACTAAGTCAGTGGTTTTGTTTTCTATAGGCTGAGCTTTCAGCTCCACAGGGTCTGCAGGTACAGCACTGACAACAGAGTATAGTTTGTTTCCAGTGTCTTCTGCTCCCTCGAGTTATACATTTTGAAGTGCCGTGAAAGTGGCAGAGGTGGTCAGGAGACTAGAGCAGAGTAACTGTAGACCAAGGACAGAACTTTGAACATTTGCCTATTTTGGGGGGCCAGGAAATGGAAACAGAGAAAAGAGTCTCCCAAAAAAGCTCCCCCAGAGAATCAGGAAGAAATTAAGAATGCAGTGTTATAAAACTTCTCCAAGATGGAAGTGAATTTCAAGATTTGATAGCATGTTTTATTTGAGTGTATATACATTTAGGTAGCAAGTTAAATAATCCAATTTTATTTTTTAAAAGATATGATGAGATTTGTCATTTATTTTTTAAATGTTTCAAAATTAAGCAAGAATTACTAAAAGAATATCTACTACAATATTTCCCCAAATTGTTCCTTGACTAATTACCCCATAGGAAAGACAAACATATAACTAAAAACAATTTAATAGGTACTACTAGTGAAATTCAAACAAAGGAGAATGTGAGAAAGGAGCTTGATTATTACAACTTAAAGAAAAGGTGAGGCAAAATTCAAAGATAGGCAGTGAGAACAGCTGACATGAGAACCAAGCCATGAGGAGGCTGTCAGGGGGACTGGAGCAGGCTGGGGGCATTGAGGGGAGAAAGCCCCAGACACATCTAGAAAGTGAAAGCAGACAGCCCATCAGCTGCTGAGTGTGGAATGAGAGTCAAGGATGCAGATGCAGAGGCCAGAGGTCAGTGGACTAGGGAAAGGTTGTGAGTCATGCAGAACTGAGTTTGCAGGCAATGAGGATCCATGAAAATAATTTAAATGGCAAGTTCCTTTAATGCAGCTAAGAATTATTCTCATGTGATAATACTTGGCAAAATAGCTAGAAACCAAACAAATTAGGGACAAATCATTAGAATTACTACCAATTGAAAATCATTTAAAGGGCAGCCTCGGTGGCTCAGTGGTCTAGCACCACCTTTGCCCCAGGGCATGATCCTGGAGACCCAGGATCTGTCCCATATCAGGCTCCCTGCGTGGAGGCTGCTTCTCCCTCTGCCTGTGTCTGTGCCTCTCTCTCTCTCTCTCTCTCTCTCTCTCTCTCTCTCTCTCCCTCTCCCTCTCCCTCTCCCTCTGTATCTCTCATGAATAAATGAATAAAATCTTAAAAGAAAGAAAGAAAGAAAGAAAGAAAGAAAGAAAGAAAGAAAAGAAAGAAAGAAAGAAAGAAAGAAAGAAAGAAAATCAGTTAAAAGTGAATATAGGGCATCCTGGGTGGCTCAGCGGTTTAGCGCTGCCTTCAGCCCAGGATGTGATCCTGGAGACCCAGGATCGAGTCCTATGTTGGTCTCCCTACATGGAGTCTACTTCTCCCTCTGCCTGGTCTCTGTCTCTCTCTCTCTCTCTCTGTGTGTGTCTCTCATGAATAAATAAAGTCTTTAAAAAAAAAAAGTGAATATATAGTAACTCTGAGATTAAAGTGAAAAGTATAATCAAAATATAACATAAGACATAACTGCTTCATAAGTCATAAATCTGGTAAATTCTGAAACATAACAGAGTCACTACTGATACAAGATAACAAACACCTAAAATATCTAAGTATTTGTAAATTTTGTCTTAAAATATGCTAGAGGAATTTCTACCTGAGTGTCTATAATTAATATTCTAAAAGAAAAACAAATTTGGTTTCCAAAGATGAAAAAGATTAAGAAAAAAGCAACAACAAAGTCACAAGCCCACAGAAATATTCTCATGTTTTTGATTGCTAATTCCCAACTTAAAAGATCTTCAAATGTAAACACATTTATTTAACAAGATGACACACTTACTGTTGGCTTCACCAGCAACTGACCCATCACTGTGAACATGCGGGAAAGGCCCACAGGGGTACATACTACAGGAGAGATCACAGAGAGGAGGCTGAAAAATTGCTAGTCCAAAAATATAGAACAGACTCAAAGATTATCATTTTAAGAAAACTTTTGTCTCAAATTTATATTCTCTCAGTTTTTTGTCAAAGGACTCTTCAACTCATCAATAAAGAAGCTAGAGGGGGTAGCATGTGGAGGATAAAAGATATATCAAGATTGAAGAAGGCTTAGGACATGCAATACTCTAGCAGCTGAATAATAAATATTTTCACTTAAAAGAAATTAAAACCAACTAAAGAGCAGATTAAATTTCAAGTGCTAATGGAATTAAGAACCAGGCAACTATTATCTTAATTCCTCTTAACTACATTTATCTACTTATAAATATCCCTGAGAAGGAGATCCCTGGATGGCTCAGCAGTTTAGTGCCTGCCTTTGGCCCAGGGCATGGTCCTAGAGTCCCAGGATCAAGTCCCACATCGGGCTCTCCTCATGGAGCCTGCTTCTCTCTCTGCCTGTGTCTCTGCCTCTCCCTCTCTTTCTCTCTCTCTCTCTGTCTCTCATGAATAAATAAAATCCTTAAAGATAGATAGATAGATAGATAGATAGATAGATAGATAGATATCCCTGAGATATGTTGTAATGCCTCAAGTAAAAGTGAACAAATTTTAAATAAAGGCCACAAATTCACCACCAGAATTCTATGTTACCATTCAAAAGTAGAATCTTTTTTTAAAATTTTTTTCTTTTTTTTTTTTTAAAGATTTTATTTATTTATTTGGAGAGAGTTTGTGCCCATGAATGGGGAGACGGGCAGAGAGAGAGGGGGGAGAAGCACATTCCCCACTGAGCAGGGAGCCCAATGCGGGGCTCCATCTCAGGACCCTGAGATCATCACCGAAGCTGAACGTAATGTTTAACCAACTGTTAAGAATCCTCAAAAGTAGAATTTAATGCTGCAGTGGGTGTGGGCCTGTGTGTGCGTGTGCATGTGCATGCACATGTGTGTCTCTCTTTACAAGAGAGGCTTTCCTTAAAGAAAACACACGTGTTTTATTTCATGGTTCCAGCTTATCAAAAAATTTATCTTAACATAAAAAAAGTTAAGGGACTTCAGAAACGTCTCCAAGCTATTAAGTAATCTCATCGGGAAATCTCACTATTATTTTCTAGAACAAAGAACTCCACTTTCCCATCAATGTTGAGCCAGAAAAATACTTACAGAGAAGTAACAAACATCCCATCAGAGATATACAGGAATATAAATAGGGTAGGTAGAACTCCCAGAGATCTATAAAGAAATTTATAAATATAGGTTAGTAAATCCAAAATATTGTACATTAAGATATAAGTTGACTATAAATTAATGTATGATAAACATCATAATTGTCTGGGTCTACTAAACCATATAATTTCTAAATTGTACAAAAAGATCTAAAATAGAAGAAAAGGAAATAACCCTTTTGTAAAACCTGTTTGGAGAGAGAGAAAAAGGTCTCCATGGAATTTTTAAGAACAGAAACCAATTAACAAAAATCTTAAAAGCAGCTTGCTTGTTCTGAATATAGCAAACACATGAACACTCATTTCTCTTCTTATACATGTCTGAAGATTTGTTAGCTCTGTAAATTAACAACAAGGACTAAAGGACACAAAGAATTATTCAAACGTTCAGGAAAGTGAATGTGTAATTACACCCCTAGTTCAGTGTCCCCGAGACACCAGCTTACCATACAAAGACTCCATGCTTGCAGCGTCATTGTCAATGAGTGCAGAGGCTACCCACACTATCCCAAGAATAAGGAGTGCGAGAAGGACAAGCATGACAACAGTTTCTAAAATTCGAGCTCGGATTCCCTGAAAAAGATAATGGAAACAGAACTGTAGTCTTTTATTTCACCTCATGGATAATTAGGTTTCTATCCAGATGAAAGCATAAAAATTCTTTGAAAAGAGAGGAAATTTATATTTATTAGCAAGACAAAAAACACTAGCTTTACAGTGTCATGTTTAGACTGACTTTGTTTTACAAAATCATGTAGAATACCATTAAGCTTTGAAGAAATAACCAAAAAAAATGTGTCATAAAAACCTATTTCAGGACTGTGTTTTAAAACACAAGGTGATGAATTTTTGTCTCTGGTTCTAAGCAAGGGGGTCGAGGCTGACTAAGGCCCTAGGCCAAGCAGTCATGGGAGCCAGATCCCGGGAATGCACACAGCCAGGCTCCCAGAGTGCCAGCCGCCAGTGTCACTCCCGCAGCCACCAGCACAGTTGCCAGCGCCCCTTGTGCTCCCCACCCCTGCAGCCACCAGTGGAACCCCCCTGCAGCTGCCAGTGCAGCAGCCAGCGCTCCCTCCTTTGCTCTCAGCAGCCCTCCACTGCTCCTCCACTGCTCCCACAGCAGTCAGTGTCCCCTGGCCCTGCCGCTGCCAGCAGAACCCCCACCCTCCCACCCCCACAGCTGCCAGCGCTCTCTCTCCCGCTCTCACCAGCACCCCCAGCTCCCACAGCTGCCAGCATGCTACCCCTCCCCCCACCGTGGCCACCAGCGTCCCACTGTGTCCCACTGCTCCTGCAGCCACCAGCGCCCCCTGCTGCACAAATCATGACAGGGGCCGCCCCCCTGCGATGCCCGCAGCAGAAACCAAGGACAGGCGCAGTGCAAGCTATCAATTATGTACCACTTCTTTCTTCACACTAGATAAAACCATCATTACTTCATGTGCCTAAAATATAATAAACCATCTTTATGCACAATTTTGTTTTCAATATAAAACAAATTCAGACCTCAGGGCCAAACCAGAGGCCAGACTTCTAAACTTGAAATCTAATGGACAAGGCAAACGAACAAAAAACAACTTTCTCATGTTCTTGAAAAACCACCAAATGATTGAATCTGTACCTAAATTCAAAGACTCACATTGATGTTTTATACTGTAATGCACTAATGTACATCTAATACAACAAACAAAATTAGAAGTAAATCCATGCCTCTCAAGAAATGTCCCATGTAATCTTTCCTTCCCCATTAAAAATAGTGTGTGATAAAGACCTAAACCATATGCTTATTTCAATTTTGCCCTAACATTATTTGTTAATTCCTGATTCAATCACAGCATGCAGTCCTTAGATGGAGAGGACAGGGAACACTCCAGCACCACCGCCCCCCTGCCATGACACCAAGTTGGAGAGGCCTGCTCTTACTTGTCCAGTGTTACAACAGGGCAGGTCCAAAGATGTCCTCAAATGTGCAGTCAGCACAGCTTAAGTGTTTGCACAGCAAGGGAGGCTGGTGGACCAGAGTGAATGACGGTTGAATTTTAACACATCAGAGCTAACAGTAATTATGACTCGAATGAGATGAAATATGAATAGTCCCCAAACATACTACTAAAAAACACCCTCCAACTTTCCTGAAGAACTCTCCAAACCTGCACTTCACAACTTTCAAACCACTTAGGATACCAAAACACGACCACCACCTTTCTTTTCTTTTAAGTAGGCTCCACGCCCAGTGTGGGGCTTGAACTCACAACCCTGAGATGAAGACTCTTATACTCTACCAAGTGAGCCAGCCAGACACCCGGGACTGTCACCTTTAAATGGTATTTCTTTTTCCTTCCTTCTCTCTTTTTGAGCAATGGTCTTTTTTTCTAAGTACTACACATGAAATATTATATGGAAAGTTTATAACGGATAAAAAGAATAGGTGCTCTGATTTGTACGTACTATACCCTTTCAGCTTGTCTCTTTCTGTCTCTGACCAAAGCCAAAATCCTGCCTGCCTCCAAATACTTAGGAGTATTAGGGTTCCCAAAACACCTAACACCTATGCCTTAAGTGTTATGACATATGCACTAAACACTGTTTAAAGTGTTCTAATATATGAGCTAACCAGTAGTGATCCTTGGAACCATCTGAGGCCCACTGTCCAAGAAAATGTTTTAATAATATGTGTAATAATTATTAAACAATTGTAACAATGTAATAGGAAGTGCAATATATAACCATTACTATGGTAGTAAATGTTAGGGAATCAATCCACAATAAGATTTACACACTACCTCCAATACTCTAATAAAAATATTTCTTGGTAGTTAAATGTATTTTTCTTCAAATATGTTATTCTGCAGTGGAAGCCAATGCTCCATGGGTCTTTCCCATTTTTGTGCATCTCACAAAGAGAGGCAGGGACAGCCCTTGTTCTGGACAGTCTATTTTTTTAAGATTTATTTTTTTATTTTGGGGAGAGAAAGAGCACATGCACATGCAGTGGGGAAGGGAAGAGGGAAAGGGAGAGAAAGAATCCCAAGCAGACTAACCACTGAGTATGGTGCCCAACATGGGGGTCAATCCTATGATTCTGTGATCAAAACCTAAGCCAAAATCAAGAGTTAGATGCTTAAACAACTGAGACACCCAAGTGCCCCTGGACTATCTTTTTAAGGATGTCTGGATAGCAAACAGCCTTGGAAAACAGAGGCAGGTGTCTTTCTGAAGCAGAAGTAGGTCTGCAGAACAAAGGGCAAGCAGGTTTGCTTGCAGCACATTTATGGGTTTCCCCTAAGTTTGAGATTCCTCAGCTATGACCTGAGCTCACTATAGAAGCAACCTCCACCTGAACCACACTGCCCCCAGGAGGCTGTGGGGGGGTGGGGAGGGATTGTGCTGGAACACAGGAAGCTCATGGCTTGCCTTGTTCTGAGTAATGAAGTCCCTTGAGTCTAATCCAGGAGTCTCATGTCTACAAGCACCACACAGAAATCTAGCAGACTGTCAGTTCGCAAGTATAGTAAACTCTCAGACCCTCCACAGTTCTGGCAGCTGTGAGTGACAAGAGTGGGCAGCTAACATGACTTTCTAGAGAAGAACAGTAAGGGCCCACAAGGCTGGGTTAAGGGCAATGAGAAGACTCCCAAGATCCAGCAGTTAATGCTCCTAGCCAAGCAGAAGGCAGGTGAGAGAAGTGAGGGTCCCCCAAGGATGCTTGTCAGAGGCTGAGCTGCAGGGGGAGCTTGGTCATAGCCCTTTCTCCCAGAGAGGAGGGGTGTTACTGTGTTTGTGTAACAGCAAGCCCTACAAGGCCAGCTAAAAAGACTATGGTTACAAGGAGCTATTTTTCTTGTATACTTTGTGCTTTTGTGTATTTTCCAAATTTCATAGAGTGAAATCTGAAATGTAAGTAATACGAGAAGAAATTAACGTTTTAATTTTTTTTAAGATTTTATTTATTTATTCATAGAGACACAGAGAGAGAACGAGAGGCAGAGACACAGGCAAAGGGAGAAGCAGGCTCCATGCAGAGAGCCTGCCGTGAGACTCGATCCAGGGTCTCCAGGATCACGCCCTGGGCTGCAGGCGGCGCTATACCGCTGCGCCATCGGGGTTGCCCCCTTGTTTTAATTTTTATTTTTGTTAAAAGAATTAACTTTCAAGAGTGGCACCCAGAAAAATAACTAAAAATATCCAAGTTCAGTTTATGAGACAAGTATAGCGAGCTAATTCAGGACCCCAACTCCAGGAGCAGACTGCTTGGGTTCAAAGTCTAGTCCCATCACTGACCAACTATGTAACATTGGGCAAATTTCTAAATTTCTCTGTGTGTCAGTTTATTTCTTTGTAAAATGGGTTTATTAATAACATCCCTACCATATGGGGTCATTATAAGGATCAAATGAATTAACATAAGTAACATGCTTAGCATTAAACTGGGTGCTTAGTAAGCACAATATAAGCATTAATGGTAATGGCCCAAATTACTACTGCCTTTGTCTTTAAAATCTCCAAGGCTGGGGATCCCTGGGTGGCGCAGCGGTTTGGCGCCTGCCTTTGGCCCAGGGCGTGATCCTGGAGACCCGGGATCGAATCCCACATCGGGCTCCCGGTGCATGGAGCCTGCTTCTCCCTCTGCCTGTGTCTCTGCCTCTCTCTCTCTGTGTGTGTGACTATCATAGATAAATTAAAAAAAAAAAAATCTCCAAGGCTTTGGAGTTCACCTATCATTTGTGTTTCTGAATTAAATTTATATCACCTTCTAATGCCAGCTTCTCTCCTTCTCATCTCCCATCTCTGTCACTCACCGGCCATAAACCTATAAGAAATAATCCTGTGTTTCTTGATGATGTGAATACCAGGTTCACCAGCATCTCTTATGACATTCCCTGCCATGATGATTACCATGTTCACTCTGAACGAACTTAATCTCCATTCCACCACAGCCCCACTTATGTACCAGCCTGATGCCCTCATCTCAGACAGTGAGACTGCCCCGAATATCTCTCCAATACCTCCAGCCCTCTAACCTAGCACTGTCTTCATTATTAGAACTTCCTCAAACCACCCAACTCCTCCAGTCAGTCTCATTTTCACTTGCCTAAACCCGATGTTGAACTGGGTATTTTATTTTTTTTAATTTTTATTTATTTATGAGAGAGAGAGAGAGAGAGAGGCAGAGACACAGGAAGAGGGAGAAGCAGGCTCCATGCACTGGGAGCCCGACGTGGGATTCGATCCCGGGTCTCCAGGATCGCGCCCTGGGCCAAAGGCAGGCGCCAAACAGCTGCGTCACCCAGGGATCCCTGAACTGGGTATTTTAAAGACAATTCAATACCAGTAAGATTCTACTATTCCTGGTCCCTTTGATTTCCACCAGACTAGCTTAATTCCACTGGTGGCTCATTCCTTAAATTCTCAGTCCTATGAAAGAAACTTACAAAATCTCGAGAAACATGTGCTACTATATTCCAAACCAGGTCTTTGCTGTTATCAGGCAATACTCATGCTGATCTCTGGTTGACTAACAATTTCCTCAATGATCTTTTAAATGTCTCCTTGAACCTAATTTCATCTCCTAC